CCCCCCCCCCCCCCCCCCCTTTAGGAAATCCTGGATCCGCCCCTGATATATGACTAGCTGGGGTGTTTGGTTGTTTGTTGGCGTGTGCCTTCTGCCCTCCCTCCCCTTTTCCACTTACAACTTACATTTTAACACTCTTATTTTGTGAAATAAAAACGCGAGGATAAATCAAATAGGCTATAATAAGTAATCAAAAGGGCTAATCATTTCAATTTCGTTTTCATGGTTATGAAGTTATGAAGTTAATTTACCTAGGGAATGCAGCTATGAGCCTCCATAGTAGGAAAACTAACTTTGCCGATTGTTTTATCCGGCAAGTATTTGTATCCGTATGACATGATATTGGTAGATATGGGACTATTATAATTATTTAAAGTTACGTACCACACTGGAAGTTAACATTTGGCCTGAAGGTTATCATCAATTATTGATATAATGCCACTTGCTTACAATAACCAGTAAGATAGCAATTCAAACGTTATAAAAACATCCAACAGGATTGAAACACACTTGACCCTATGGCGTATTATTTACAGGTTGAAATTTTCTTATAATTTCAAAATCATAACAATGCCTTATATATAAGTTAATATGCTCAAACGATTGATTAAGACAGTTTTTTCAAATGTTTATTTTTGAATTTATTCACACCGTAACGATGTTATACAGGTAAGAATTTGTTTTGATAAAAATAAAGATGATTACTGAGACGAACAGATTTTGGAGGAAACAGAAATTCGAGATTTTCTGGATTTACCGACAGGAAGATAAAAATTGAAATACATTATATGGATTCTGACGCATTTCCTGTTTGTTTCAGTATGAGTTGGGGTCAACTACCTATATACTATGTATATACAATCTGCGAGCTGGTAGATATTATAACCGACCTTTATTTCGGATTTTGGACCGAATAGGAAGATTCTCAATTCATGTACCGAGTCAAGTCATAATAGCCCACGGTGAGTTTATAATAACCATAGATACATGACACCATCAGAATTGCCCAATAGATATATCAATAATGGGAATAAAGGGTCATAAATTTCACAGTCTGTGTGTTTAAATGACAATTGCAGGACGATCGAGTTTATAATAAATCTAAACTCAAATGGAAACGAATTTAAAGCATAAGGGATGCATAAAAAAGGAGACACAAGTTTTCCGACCATCACTTTTCAACGACGCTTCATTCACAATAGCATGACGTCATATATATTGTCTTACCTATGACGTCACAATTAATGGGTATGATTGGTCCAAAACCGGTCTGCTAATGAATTGTATGTGATTTATTTATTAATCTGAATATATGTTATATTTCATCAACTTATATATTATATATATAATTAATTGACGATATCATCCATTTTTCTGAAAAAAAGCTAAGCTCGCCTATGCTTAAATTCTTATGATAGGTATATAAAAAATATGCCATATGTTGTTCTTTTCGGGTCACAAACATCAGCACGTGTGCCGCTGTCTGGTAAAATATTTCAGTATGGATAAATCTAAAAGGTGTACGAATCCACGGTAGCACAAAACAAAGGTCCGACTCAGAGACGGGTATCTTGTCCAACTTGTCCAATAATCTTTTATTTTTATTTTGAAATTGATCAATTTCGGACTGCAAGTTCCCATAGCTAGAGAGATCTGTTAATTCTGAGGTAGTATTTAAAAGGGGTCGTTATGTCGATGACGCGGCAATTAAGTGTGTCATATCACGGAATTAGAATATCTAAGTCCGTGGTCATATATATATAGTTTTTTATATTGCATAACAAACGTCAAACCTAAAAAATGTCTACGTGCACATTATATCTGTATAACGCAGATATCGATTTTGCACAAATATTATATCGGACATAAACAAAATACTTTAAATGGGCTTTCAATCCCGGGGCCTATACGTACGGCAATTGCGTAGAGAATCCTATAGCCTCGGGGTGTACACGTATATAATGTAATATCACGGACTTAGATAACAATCTAATCTAATTCCGTGGTAATATATATAAATAGATTTAGGCTAAATATATGTATAAACTGACGAATCAGCGACAAACAGAAAAAAACATGTCGACAGCGGCTTTACTCAGTTTAATTCGCATATCAAACACATACAATATAAGAAACATATGTATTTGACTTTAAATTCAACTGCCTATGTTAATGAAAATAGAGTGTAAATTCCATGTAAACTAAAGTTTGAGCTGATGAAACTAATGGCTACCAAAGAATCATGTGATGTCATATCTATATTAAAGTAACATGTGATAACTATTTATAGAAATAAGCCCTCAGGTTCGTTCTTGTACCATGACGATTATTCTGGAACAGCCACATGATTCGTGCAATCTGGTCACATGACACGAGCAAGGTTAAGGTATATATATTCAGTGTGAACATCGCAAAAGCAAAACCCGCACAAACATCCCAGAGCAAACAGCAGTGAAACTAGAGCGAACTAAACACAGAACAAAGGTAAGTCAAGAACATTGTATACTAGGCTAGTAAAATTCTACTCTAACACTAAATCTCTGTCACAAGAGATGTGAAACATTGGGCCAACGAAGGTGTAATAAAAAGTGTTAGACCCGGACGTTGTGAAATGATTGTGAAACCGGGAAGCGTTAGACAATTTTAACGTTTGATAATGAACTAAATATCAGGATAGTTGTGAAATTGTTCTGAAATTTTGATAACGGTAGGTGTTATACTTATAGTGGTTGTCCCGTTGTGATTACAAAGCAAATAGACTGATCTACTTTCGACACCATTCCCGCCATAGAAACAAAAGAAACCCTCGGTACAGAATCGCTTGAAGATTCGAGATTTGAATTACGTGATGGCTAGTATAATTATACTGTTTAACAGCTAGGTCATACGATTTAGCTGTTCACACGCTTCAGAAATAGCACTGTGTCCTAATAATTTCAATATGGCGACATGGCTTTACCTAATTTATATTGTGACGTCATTACCGGATGTTTGTATCAGTTGATCGGGGGTGCGCTGATCTCAATGTCATATTATGTACACGGAAATATCTTTTGTCGTTTTGCTTCTATTTTTTGGCATATTCTAAAAGAAAATCGTATTGATGTTCCTTTATTGATTTCTCACTTTTCATAATGAAACTCTGCTGCATTTAAATATAATCTTGTTGAGATTTTAACTTTAATGCAAGTTTTTGTCAAATGTCAAAATAGGCCTGTATTGTCATTTTCGAGGGCGTTTTGTCATCTGAAACGAAATTTCAAATTTGACTATACCTTACACTCGGTTAATGGTGTGTGGAAAAAAAATATCTGTTATACTATTGAACTTAAAAGTACCTCATTGTTTATCATAATAATAGCTCCACTTAACACAAATTCAGTGTTTAATCGAAATCCTTGAATCTAGTAAACTAATGTGGATTGTTTAATATTTTTCAGAACCATGCAGATCTTTGTAAAAACCCTCACAGGAAAAACTATCACCCTTGAGGTTGAACCATCAGACTCTATTGAAAATGTAAAGGCTAAAATCCAGGACAAAGAAGGAATTCCCCCAGACCAGCAGCGTCTTATCTTTGCTGGTAAGCAGCTGGAAGATGGCCGCACACTTTCTGACTACAACATCCAGAAGGAGTCCACACTCCATCTTGTACTCCGACTGAGGGGAGGGATGCAAATCTTTGTAAAAACCCTCACAGGGAAAACCATCACCCTTGAGGTTGAACCATCAGACTCTATTGAAAATGTGAAGGCTAAAATCCAGGACAAAGAAGGAATTCCCCCAGACCAGCAGCGTCTTATCTTTGCTGGTAAACAGCTGGAAGATGGCCGCACACTTTCTGACTACAACATCCAGAAGGAGTCCACACTCCATCTTGTACTCCGACTGAGGGGAGGGATGCAAATCTTTGTAAAAACCCTCACAGGGAAAACCATCACCCTTGAGGTTGAACCATCAGACTCTATTGAAAATGTGAAGGCTAAAATCCAGGACAAAGAAGGAATTCCCCCAGACCAGCAGCGTCTTATCTTTGCTGGTAAACAGCTGGAAGATGGCCGCACACTTTCTGACTACAACATCCAGAAGGAGTCCACACTCCATCTTGTACTCCGACTGAGGGGAGGGATGCAAATCTTTGTAAAAACCCTCACAGGGAAAACCATCACCCTTGAGGTTGAACCATCAGACTCTATTGAAAATGTGAAGGCTAAAATCCAGGACAAAGAAGGAATTCCCCCAGACCAGCAGCGTCTTATCTTTGCTGGTAAACAGCTGGAAGATGGCCGCACACTTTCTGACTACAACATCCAGAAGGAGTCCACACTCCATCTTGTACTCCGACTGAGGGGAGGGATGCAAATCTTTGTAAAAACCCTCACAGGGAAAACCATCACCCTTGAGGTTGAACCATCAGACTCTATTGAAAATGTGAAGGCTAAAATCCAGGACAAAGAAGGAATTCCCCCAGACCAGCAGCGTCTTATCTTTGCTGGTAAACAGCTGGAAGATGGCCGCACACTTTCTGACTACAACATCCAGAAGGAGTCCACACTCCATCTTGTACTCCGACTGAGGGGAGGGATGCAAATCTTTGTAAAAACCCTCACAGGGAAAACCATCACCCTTGAGGTTGAACCATCAGACTCTATTGAAAATGTGAAGGCTAAAATCCAGGACAAAGAAGGAATTCCCCCAGACCAGCAGCGTCTTATCTTTGCTGGTAAACAGCTGGAAGATGGCCGCACACTCTCTGACTACAACATCCAGAAGGAGTCCACACTCCATCTTGTACTCCGACTGAGGGGAGGACAGTAAATTAACAATTTGTGTTCAATTTTAACTTTGACTGTTCAAAAATCTGTGCTAGTCAGAGGACAATAATATTGCTTAAGAGATGCCAAATCCAGATTCTATGGAATTATGTCTATTGTCCATGTCACTGTCTTGTGTTGTATTGGTCAGTGAACCAGTCTTTCTGTAAATATGATTTTAAAAATTTAAAGTTACTTTCTGTCTTATTAAAATTGATGAAATTTATTTAGAGTGTTTGTTATATATCAAATGTAGCTATTAAAAACAACCAAGAAATCTTGGTTGTCATTAAAATCCTTGCAGGACAGAAACCAAATAAACGTTTCAAGTCACCCAACCTATACTCTAAATTTGTGCCTTGTACATGTACACTGAACAGATTTTAATACCGCAACTTGAAAGAAAAAAAATGAAAACAAAATTTAATAACTACATACTCTAATTTTCATGCAACTAATTTTGGGTACGGGAAACAAACAGGATTTGTTTCTGCTCAAATTGTCTTCAAATTTGATTTGCTCACAAAAATATTGAGCAATATAGCATGTTTGAGCAATTTGGAGCTAGAGCAGTAGTCACATTATAGATAAATGTTCTTGATATATATATTTGTTGAACTTGGCAAAATAACATTTTTATTTTTTCTCACTAAAAGTCTAAAAATTGCAATACTATATGCCTGGTCAAAGAGGGGGAGGGGCACAGCATGCTGACCATGTTTAATCGAAATCCGATCTAATGATCAAAAATGGTCGAGGTCCACATATTCATCCAAGTCATATGTTGTACTGTCAACTACAGTTGCCAAAGTTGTATGCACTGAAATTTGGTCTCCTGTTATAACAAAATTTGGCAGATGTCCAGTTCTAAAACCATTGTTAGGAGGTGTGGGACTACTGCATGCAGAGAACTTTTCACCAGTTTAACTTTTGCCCTCTGTAATTGGAGGGAATGTATTGCAGGGATTTTTGGTAACAATATACTTCTTGGTATAATGTGAAGGGCGAGTATTTATCCACAAAGGGTGAAATTTTGTGGTATACAGTACATATTAATTGCAATAATACGACAAATTGTATATAAAATGGTCATATTTTGAGACTGAACATTCAGTTGAGGAAGAAACATACCGAGTCGGGACATCTACAAATGACTGCTAGAGACCCATCCTTGTATCTATTATCTTGCTCAAGCTGGAATCGCTCGACAACCAGCAAAGAATGTTTTAACAGGTTTAAAATGCAAACACAGAACAAGAGTTCCTTGGTAGCTAAGTACAGATGATTGTGGAGAATATTCATATAACTAAAAGATTTAACTTGAGCAAGAAAATAGACAATTGAAACTGATGCATATATTAAAATTGTCCTGCAGTAGTTGTGGCCAGGGACACTAAATAGAATGGAAGGGTTTACAAATACATTTCTTTGCAATCCTTACAAATACTTCCTTACACTGCAATATGACCCAAAATGATAATCACAAATCAGAAATATTTTCATATTTTTTATTCGTTCATTAATTGTTACATTAAACTACTTAAGAAACATGCACATATCTTGCTTTCTGTTGATCACAGACATCCACATGTAAGACTACATGTTCATGAAATCTTAACATGTTGCTTATGCAAACACATGATAATGATTAAATAAATGTACTTTTCGATTCAGGAAGAGAGAAAATGGTCTGACTAGTCTTCAAACACCTTAAAACGAATCAACAAAAGGATATTAAGGAAGAGAGAAAATTGTCTGACAAGTCTTTGAATGAATTTAAAATGTGTTGAACTTCTGTAACAAGTTGGTATAATTAATATAGATTTGGTTGGTATTTTGGCCAAACCAGACTTGTGGTTGTAATAGACTTCAGCTTAAACGTGGAGTGTTTAGAACTAATGACTTTTGTTCATACTAAGATCTGACAGAATTTGCCTGACACAGCTAATTATATAGACTAAAGCTTGTACAAAGATCTGTCAAACCTTACCATAAACTATTCTGACTGGCTTTTAGCTTTCGGTAGACTCCTGGCATGCAACATAATTCAACAATATTTAGCAAATATTCTGCATTTTTTAATGCAAGTCATTAATTCTCTATACAGTGAAGTGATTCCTGCTATTATCACAGAAAATATCACAGCATTAAAAGCCAATAATAGATTAAACTGTACGTCTGTAGCCTATTTGGATATACAGCCTTAAGATCACCCTTCTGCCTGTACCCGATCGGACTTGAATAAAAGGTAAAAATATGACTACATGTATTCTATTCAGAGATTCCACCTATTGCTTGTACATACCAGGGTCAGCACATATTCCTGTTACAACAGAATTTGTTTCTTCCACAATTGTCGATCAATCTCTTTATCAAAATACAAAATGTATGTGGAGAATGAACAATTGTTTTGACATCGAAGATTTTCTATCAGGGGATGGACACATTCTTGGATTTCTTTTCCACTTGGGTGGTCATCACCATCAACCCATGTCACCTGGTTCCTCGTAGCAGTGTTGCAGTGTCTCAAAGTTTGCGAGTATCTCGACGTAGTCGTCCTCCTCTATACCAGCGGCTAAGTAACGGTGGTGTTTATGTATGTTCAGTTTGGAAGCCTCTGTGTGGAGAGTCTGAAGCAGCTCTACTGTGTCTGAAGTAGACTGTAAACTGGTCATAACAGGCACACTCTCAACTCCTGCACAATGGAAAAACATGACATTGTAAGCAAACCCTTCGCAATTGAAATATAAATCTTACATCTACAAAGCAGTATGTTGAATTGTCTTGGTGTCTAGGCGATGACTTTTTTTATTGAAGTTATTGTCAAGCAAATAAATAGATATTGTTTATGCAACATTTTTATTTCAGTACTTTACCTTGAAAATCAGCTCGCTTGGTTGACGATAAAAATCCATTCTTGCTAACATTTGGATCAAATATGTGTGGGTAAGGGGAGACAACTTTACATGGATCCCGCAACACTGTTCCATCACTGAAAAAATTAAAAAGCATGCATGACTAAGCTTTGAGGTGAGTGAGTGGGGAATCTGAAGTAGCTACTATAGTCTATACACACACCTGTGTGAGATGTCACTATAGTCTATACACACCTGTGTGAGATGTCGCTATAGTATATACACACCTGTGTGAGATGTCACTATAGTCTATACACGCCTGTGTGAGATGTCACTAAAATCAATACACACCTGTGTGAGATATCACTATAGTATATACACACCTGTGTGAGATGTCACTAAAATCTATACACCTGTGTGAGATATCACCATAGTCTATACACACCTGTGTGACATGTCTCTATAGTCTATACACACCTGTGTGGGATGTCACTAAAATCTATACACACCTGTGTGAGATATCGCCATAGTCTATACACACCGTTGTGAGATGTCACTATAGTCTATACACACCTGTGTGAGATGTCACTAAAATCTATACACACCTGTGTGAGATATCACCATAGTCTATACACACCTGTGTGAGATGTCACTATAGTCTATACACACCTGTGTGAGATGTCGCTATAGTATATACACACCTGTGTGAGATGTCACTATAGTCTATACACACCTGTGTGACATGTCACTATAGTCTATACACACCTGTGGGAGGTGTCACTATATAGTCTATACACACCTGTGTGACATGTCACTATAGTCTAATTACACCTGTGTGACAGGTCAATATGGTCTATACACACCTGTGTGAGATGTCACTAAAATCTATACACACCTGTGTGAGATATCACCATAGTCTATACACACCTGTGTGATATGTCACTATAGTCTATACACACCTATGTGAGATGTCACTGTATAAACCTGTATTGGATGTCTATAAGTCTATGTACATACCTGTGTTGGATGTCTATACGTATATGTACACACCTGTGTGAGGTGTCGTTATAGTCTATACAAACCTGTGTGAGATGTTACTATACAAACCTGTGTTGGATGTGTATACGTCTATACACACCTGTGGGAGAAGGCACTATATGGTCTATACACACCTGTGGGAGGCGTCACTATATAGTCTATACACACCTATGTGAGATGTCACTGTATAAACCTGTATTGGATGTCTATAAGTCTATGTACATACTTGTGTTGGATGTCTATACGTATATGTACACACCTGTGTCCGATGTTACTATACAAACCTGTGTTGGATGTGTATAAGTATATACACACCTGTGTGATATGTCACTATAGTCTATACACACCTGTGTGAGATGTCACTATAGTCTAATTACACCTGTGGGTGGTGTCACTATAGTCTATACACACCTGTGTGGGATGTCACTATAGTCTATACACACCTGTGTGACATGTCACTATAGTCTATACACACCTGTGGGAGGTGTCACTATATAGTCTATACACACCTGTTTTAGATGTCACTATAGTCTATACACACCTGTGTGAGATGTCACTTAAGTCTATACACACCTGTGTGAGATGTCACTATAGTCTAACTACACCTGTGTGAGATGTCACTATAGTCTATACACACCTGTGTGAGGTGTCACTGTATAGTTTATACACACCTGTGTGACATGTCACTATAGTCTATACACACCTGTGTGAGATGTCACTATAATCTATACACACCTGTGTGAGATGTTACTATACACACCTTTGTGAGATGTCACTATAGTCTATACACACCTGTGTGAGATGTCACTATTGTCTAACTACACATGTGTGAGATGTCACTATAGTCTATACACACCTGTGGGAGGTGTCACTATATAGTCTATTCACACCTCTGTGAGGTGTCACTATAGTCTATACACACCTGTGTGGGATGTCACTATAGTCTATACACACCTGTGTGAGATGTCACTATAGTCTATACACACCTGTGGGAGGTGTCACTATATAGTCTATACACACCTGTTTTAGATGTCACTATAGTCTATACACACCTGTGTGAGATGTCACTTAAGTCTATACACACCTGTGTGAGATGTCACTATAGTCTAACTACACCTGTGTGAGATGTCACTATAGTCTATACACACCTGTGTGAGGTGTCACTGTATAGTTTATACACACCTGTGTGACATGTCACTATAGTCTATACACACCTGTGTGAGATGTCACTATAATCTATACACACCTGTGTGAGATGTTACTATACACACCTTTGTGAGATGTCACTATAGTCTATACACACCTGTGTGAGATGTCACTATTGTCTAACTACACATGTGTGAGATGTCACTATAGTCTATACACACCTGTGGGAGGTGTCACTATATAGTCTATTCACACCTCTGTGAGGTGTCACTATAGTCTATACACACCTGTGTGGGATGTCACTATAGTCTATACACACCTGTGTGAGATGTCACTATAGTCTATACACACCTGTGGGAGGTGTCACTATATAGTCTATACACACCTGTTTTAGATGTCACTATAGTCTATACACACCTGTGTGAGATGTCACTTAAGTCTATACACACCTGTGTGAGATGTCACTATAGTCTAACTACACCTGTGTGAGATGTCACTATAGTCTATACACACCTGTGTGAGGTGTCACTGTATAGTTTATACACACCTGTGTGACATGTCACTATAGTCTATACACACCTGTGTGAGATGTCACTATAATCTATACACACCTGTGTGAGATGTTACTATACACACCTTTGTGAGATGTCACTATAGTCTATACACACCTGTGTGAGATGTCACTATTGTCTAACTACACATGTGTGAGATGTCACTATAGTCTATACACACCTGTGGGAGGTGTCACTATATAGTCTATTCACACCTCTGTGAGGTGTCACTATAGTCTATACACACCTGTGTGGGATGTCACTATAGTCTATACACACCTGTGTGAGATGTCACTATAGTCTATACACACCTGTGGGAGGTGTCACTATATAGTCTATACACACCTCTGTGAGGTGTCACTAAAGTCTATACACACCTGTGTGGGATGTCACTATAGTCTATACACACCTGTGTGGGATGTCGCTATAGTCTATACACACCTGTGTTGGATGTCTATAAGTATATGTACACACCTGTGTCAGATGTTACTATACAAACCTGTGTTGGATGTGTATAAGTCTATACACACCTGTGTGAGATGTCACTATAGTCTATACACACCTGTGGGAGGTGTCACTATATAGTCTATACACACCTCTGTGAGGTGTCACTAAAGTCTATACACACCTGTGTGGGATGTCACTATAGTCTATACACACCTGTGTGGGATGTCGCTATAGTCTATACACACCTGTGTTGGATGTCTATAAGTATATGTACACACCTGTGTCAGATGTTACTATACAAACCTGTGTTGGATGTGTATAAGTCTATACACACCTGTGTGAGATGTTACTATACACACCTGTGTGAGATGTTACTATACACACCTGTGTGAGATGTTACTATACACACCTGTGTGTGGTGGGGAATCTGTCCCTGAGGTACATCTGTAATACATCGTCCACAGTCTGACAGGTTCTGAACTGATGTGGAGATCTCTCATCCTGCACTGATCTGAAAGGCATTAAAGAGTTTTTAGTATAAAGAGAATGCTATCTATGTACATATCATTAAATTAAGTTTCACTAAGAGGTAAAGTCACATCAGGAAAAAGGTAAAATTATGTATCATTACTGTATACGGGAATCTTTTGTTGCAGTTTATCTTTACTTTTTGCCTTTCATAATGAGACAAAAACCATTCATTGCCATGGATATCAGTTTATCAGATATAGTAATTACATGTGAAGGGTGAAATCAGCACTAGATGAACATGGATTTTGGTAGTGAAGGATGAATATTCAACCAGGTGTATATCTACCAAGTAGCAAATAAGCAGTTGCATGCACATCTCAAATCCTCCATTGCACTATTTTGAATTTAATGGACTTACAATACTTCCGGTAACAGGAATGGTGGGTGATTTTGTAATTGTGAGTGATAATTTTCAAAAATTAAAGTGTTCAGAAATCGTACTCCAAGTCTTTCTTTTTTTTTGATAATACTTAAGTTATTTCCTGTCATATCAATAAAAATGAGCTTCTTTTTGTGTCAGAAATACGGAAATCAAATACATTAAAACACTCTAGAATTGCTCTCAAAAGCCACCAGATATCACTACCGTTCCTCCAGATATCCAATCCCAATAGTTTATAGTCCAGCTTGCGCCTGTTAACTGGACAAAAGCTTCCCGGTATGCAGTAATATCTAAATACTAGGTGCTCTTTATTACCGAATACATTTTCTTATCACATGACTATACTGTGTTATGTAGTGAAAACATACATGTCATGTTTGCAACGTAACTTAATGTTGCAAAGCAATTACACCCATTATGACATTAGAATTAACAGATATGACATTATGACATTGTGATGTTACACAGAAGCCAATTATACATTAAGTCCAAAAGGTGATGTTAAAGACATCACAATGGGCAGAGGAATTAATTTTTCAGGAATATTTACATAGATTTTGGTAAATCTGATCATAATTATCTTCAAATCACTTTACAATGAGATGTGTTTTTTTAACCCTACTGAGCCTTGCTTAAAAAATTCTAGATTATTTCATCAATCTCACATAAAATGAAAACTTATTATATATATTCTAATAAGTTATTCTATAAATTGGTACATACATTATATTTATAAACGATTTACTAAACTAACAAAGAAACACAAGTACTACTAGACTATACTGAAGTAAAGTCATAATACTAAACTAACAATAAAGCTAAGTACCAGACAACTGAGGTACAGTACTAAACTAACAATAAAGCTAAGTACCGGACCACTGAGGTACAGTACTAAATTAACAATAAAGCTAAGTACCAGACCACTGAGGTACAGTACTAAACTAACAATAAAGCTAAGTACCAGACCACTGAGGTACAGTACTAAACTAACACAATAAAGCTAAGTACCAGACTACTGAGGTACAGTACTAAACTAACAATAAAGCTAAGTACCAGACCACTGAGGTACAGTACTAAACTAACACAATAAAGCTAAGTACCAGACTACTGAGGTACAGTACTAAACTAACAATAAAGCTAAGTACCAGACCACTGAGGTACAGTACTAAACTAACAATAAAGCTAAGTACCAGACCACTGAGGTACAGTACTAAACTAACAATAAAGCTAAGTACCAGACTACTGAGGTACAGTACTAAACTAACACAATAAAGCTAAGTACCAGACTACTGAGGTACAGTACTAAACTAACAAAATAGCTAAGTACCAGACTACTGAGGTACAGTACTAAACTAACACAATAAAGCTAAGTACCAGACTACTGAGGTACAGTACTAAACTAACACAATAAAGCTAAGTACCAGACTACTGAGGTACAGTACTAAACTAACACAATATAGCTAAGTACCAGACTACTGAGGTACAGTACTAAACTAACACAATAAAGCTAAGTACCAGACTACTGAGGTACAGTACTAAACTAACACAATAAAGCTAAGTACCAGACTACTGAGGTACAGTACTAAACTAACACAATAAAGCTAAGTACCAGACTACTGAGGTACAGTACTAAACTAACACAATAAAGCTAAGTACCAGACTACTGAGGTACAGTACTAAACTAACACAATATAGCTAAGTACCAGACTACTGAGGTACAGTACTAAACTAACACAATAAAGCTAAGTACCAGACTACTGAGGTACAGTACTAAACTAACACAATATAGCTAAGTACCAGACTACTGAGGTACAGTACTAAACTAACACAATAAAGCTAAGTACCAGACTACTGAGGTACAGTACTAAACTAACACAATAAAGCTAAGTACCAGACTACTGAGGTACAGTACTAAACTAACACAATAAAGCTAAGTACCAGACTACTGAGGTACAGTACTAAACTAACACAATAAAGCTAAGTACCAGACTACTGAGGTACAGTACTAAACTAACACAATAAAGCTAAGTACCAGACTACTGAGGTACAGTACTAAACTAACACAATAAAGCTAAGTACCAGACTACTGAGGTACAGTACTAAACTAACACAATAAAGCTAAGTACCAGACTACTGAGGTACAGTACTAAACTAACACAATAAAGCTAAGTACCAGACTACTGAGGTACAGTACTAAACTAACACAATAAAGCTAAGTACCAGACTACTGAGGTACAGTACTAAACTAACACAATAAAGCTAAGTACCAGACTACTGAGGTACAGTACTAAACTAACACAATAAAGCTAAGTACCAGACTACTGAGGTACAGTACTAAACTAACACAATAAAGCTAAGTACCAGACTACTGAGGTACAGTACTAAACTAACACAATAAAGCTAAGTACCAGACTACTGAGGTACAGTACTAAACTAACACAATAAAGCTAAGTACCAGACTACTGAGGTACAGTACTAAACTAACACAATAAAGCTAAGTACCAGACTACTGAGGTACAGTACTAAACTAACACAATAAAGCTAAGTACCAGACTACTGAGGTACAGTACTAAACTAACACAATAAAGCTAAGTACCAGACTACTGAGGTACAGTACTAAACTAACACAATAAAGCTAAGTACCAGACTACTGAGGTACAGTACTAAACTAACACAATAAAGCTAAGTACCAGACTACTGAGGTACAGTACTAAACTAACACAATAAAGCTAAGTACCAGACTACTGAGGTACAGTACTAAACTAACACAATAAAGCTAAGTACCAGACTACTGAGGTACAGTACTAAACTAACACAATAAAGCTAAGTACCAGACTACTGAGGTACAGTACTAAACTAACACAATAAAGCTAAGTACCAGACTACTGAGGTACAGTACTAAACTAACACAATAAAGCTAAGTACCAGACTACTGAGGTACAGTACTAAACTAACACAATAAAGCTAAGTACCAGACTACTGAGGTACAGTACTAAACTAACACAATAAAGCTAAGTACCAGACTACTGAGGTACAGTACTAAACTAACACAATAAAGCTAAGTACCAGACTACTGAGGTACAGTACTAAACTAACACAATAAAGCTAAGTACCAGACTACTGAGGTACAGTACTAAACTAACACAATAAAGCTAAGTACCAGACTACTGAGGTACAGTACTAAACTAACACAATAAAGCTAAGTACCAGACTACTGAGGTACAGTACTAAACTAACACAATAAAGCTAAGTACCAGACTACTGAGGTACAGTACTAAACTAACACAATAAAGCTAAGTACCAGACTACTGAGGTACAGTACTAAACTAACACAATAAAGCTAAGTACCAGACTACTGAGGTACAGTACTAAACTAACACAATAAAGCTAAGTACCAGACTACTGAGGTACAGTACTAAACTAACACAATAAAGCTAAGTACCAGACTACTGAGGTACAGTACTAAACTAACACAATAAAGCTAAGTACCAGACTACTGAGGTACAGTACTAAACTAACACAATAAAGCTAAGTACCAGACTACTGAGGTACAGTACTAAACTAACACAATAAAGCTAAGTACCAGACTACTGAGGTACAGTACTAAACTAACACAATAAAGCTAAGTACCAGACTACTGAGGTACAGTACTAAACTAACACAATAAAGCTAAGTACCAGACTACTGAGGTACAGTACTAAACTAACACAATAAAGCTAAGTACCAGACTACTGAGGTACAGTACTAAACTAACACAATAAAGCTAAGTACCAGACTACTGAGGTACAGTACTAAACTAACACAATAAAGCTAAGTACCAGACTACTGAGGTACAGTACTAAACTAACACAATAAAGCTAAGTACCAGACTACTGAGGTACAGTACTAAACTAACACAATAAAGCTAAGTACCAGACTACTGAGGTACAGTACTAAACTAACACAATAAAGCTAAGTACCAGACTACTGAGGTACAGTACTAAACTAACACAATAAAGCTAAGTACCAGACTACTGAGGTACAGTACTAAACTAACACAATAAAGCTAAGTACCAGACTACTGAGGTACAGTACTAAACTAACACAATAAAGCTAAGTACCAGACTACTGAGGTACAGTACTAAACTAACACAATAAAGCTAAGTACCAGACTACTGAGGTACAGTACTAAACTAACACAATAAAGCTAAGTACCAGACTACTGAGGTACAGTACTAAACTAACACAATATAGCTAAGTACCAGACTACTGAGGTACAGTACTAAACTAACACAATAAAGCTAAGTACCAGACTACTGAGGTACAGTACTAAACTAACACAATAAAGCTAAGTACCAGACTACTGAGGTACAGTACTAAACTAACACAATAAAGCTAAGTACCAGACTACTGAGGTACAGTACTAAACTAACACAATAAAGCTAAGTACCAGACTACTGAGGTACAGTACTAAACTAACACAATAAAGCTAAGTACCAGACTACTGAGGTACAGTACTAAACTAACACAATAAAGCTAAGTACCAGACTACTGAGGTACAGTACTTAACTAACACAATAAAGCAATCTCACAATTGAGTTATACATTATGAAAAAACAGATATTTTACATTTAAAACTCTGTAACATCAAGATCACAGGAACACAACCTTTTTGCAATATTGTTGGAGATGCCTCGAACTACAGTCGACTGTAAGAATGGGTTGACAGTGTTTTTCACATGAGGTGTCAGGGAGACCCAGGGAAGGTCATTGCCAATGGACATAAGTGAGTCAACCAAGAATTGATCTTCGTGTATCGGGTATGGAAAACTTGTGCTCACAGATGCCATCTAAAAGAGAAACAAACAACACCTTTAAACAAGAATTTTAAAAGACCACAAAAGAATTGAAGCAAGTTGCAATTCTGCTAATTAATGACCACCCAGTGAGACCAAATTATGGGTGCCTAATCCCTTGCCCATAATGTTTCGGCAATTTATAAGTTTAAACCAACATTAACAACAATCAGTTATGCCTGGTATATACTGTATAACCCCCAAAATAATCCTGGTTATTCCTTCATTATATAATTATATTCCATTGAGTTCATTCTATGTATAACCAATGAGCTTCAGTAAGTACATCATACCTGAGAATAAACTCCAAACACTGGATATATATCAAAATCAGTTAATACATGGTGGACTTTTTCTCCCATAACAAGAGAAAATGCTTACACGACAATGTCTGTGAGACTTGAGTAATATGCTGGCAGTGTACCTTCTGCACATCCTTCCGCACATTAAGTTTTGACGAAAACCCCAAAATACCATTTCATATGAGGAAATTGTTTCCTTATATTTGCTTCGTTAGTATTATATTGGATACACTCTGTGTCTCTTGAATGTTTACCTTTCTGCCAATTGACTGGAATGTGTCGGTCAAGTCACGCATATGTAGGACAGCAGGTTGTCTGTAAGGGGAGGTCACTGAGTCCAAAGTGGCAGCCAGGATGGCACTGGTGTGGTAGTCTAGCGACTGAAATACAAATTAAATGCACAGTATATATATTGTAAGTATCATCTTAACTGATAAAATTAAAAACAAACTTCAAATCTTCAGACTACAGTACCCCCAGATGTCAAAAATTGTATGGTCCCATTTTTAGTCATCATTCTATAATTGATATCGTTCAAAGTCTATCTCTGTTTTCTTTTCAAGTTATTGACATTAAGATACACTGTCAAGAAATATTTCCACAAAGAAAGTATAAACCAATTAACTGATTCCTAGAAGACTAAACAAATGTTGATACTCATATAAGCAGAACGGTCAAAGAATGAACTACATAAAAAACATATTGTACATAAACGATTGGCATCATTTAAAAAGGCTTTCAGGTAAAGTCAGATCACTCCCCTGATACACTGAACGGTTACCTACCTTATACTGTAGATGTGACAGCTGTACTGGTGGGCCTACATTTACCTACCTTATACTGTAGGTGTGACAGCTGTACTGGTGGACCAATAGTTACCTACCTTATACTGTAGATGTGACAGCTGTACTGGTGGGCCAATAGTTACCTACCTTATACTGTAGGTGTGACAGCTGTACTGGTGGACCTATAGTTACCTACCTTATACTGTAGGTGTGACAGCTGTACTGGTGGGCCAATAGTTACCTACCTTATACTGTAGGTGTGACAGCTGTACTGGTGGGCCAATAGTTACCTACCTTATACTGTAGGTGTGACAGCTGTACTGGTGGACCAATAGTTACCTACCTTATACTGTAGGTGTGACAGCTGTACTGGTGGGCCAATAGTTACCTACCTTATACTGTAGGTGTGACAGCTGTACTGGTGGACCAATAGTTACCTACCTTATACTGTAGGTGTGACAGCTGTACTGGTGGACCAATAGTTACCTACCTTATACTGTAGGTGTGACAGCTGTACTGGTGGACCAATAGTTACCTACCTTATACTGTAGGTGTGACAGCTGTACTGGTGGACCAATAGTTACCTACCTTATACTGTAGGTGTGACAGCTGTACTGGTGGGCCAATAGTTACCTACCTTATACTGTAGGTGTGACAGCTGTACTGGTGGACCAATAGTTACCTACCTTATACTGTAGGTGTGACAGCTGTACTGGTGGACCAATAGTTACCTACCTTATACTGTAGGTGTGACAGCTGTACTGGTGGACCAATAGTTACCTACCTTATACTGTAGGTGTGACAGCTGTACTGGTGGACCAATAGTTACCTACCTTATACTGTAGGTGTGACAGCTGTACTGGTGGACCAATAGTTACCTACCTTATACTGTAGGTGTGACAGCTGTACTGGTGGACCAATAGTTACCTACCTTATACTGTAGGTGTGACAGCTGTACTGGTGGACCAATAGTTACCTACCTTATACTGTAGGTGTGACAGCTGTACTGGTGGACCAATAGTTACCTACCTTATACTGTAGGTGTGACAGCTGTACTGGTGGACCAATAGTTACCTACCTTATACTGTAGGTGTGACAGCTGTACTGGTGGACCAATAGTTACCTACCTTATACTGTAGGTGTGACAGCTGTACTGGTGGACCAATAGTTACCTACCTTATACTGTAGGTGTGACAGCTGTACTGGTGGACCAATAGTTACCTACCTTATACTGTAGGTGTGACAGCTGTACTGGTGGACCAATAGTTACCTACCTTATACTGTAGGTGTGACAGCTGTACTGGTGGACCAATAGTTACCTACCTTATACTGTAGGTGTGACAGCTGTACTGGTGGACCAATAGTTACCTACCTTATACTGTAGGTGTGACAGCTGTACTGGTGGACCAATAGTTACCTACCTTATACTGTAGGTGTGACAGCTGTACTGGTGGACCAATAGTTACCTACCTTATACTGTAGGTGTGACAGCTGTACTGGTGGACCAATAGTTACCTACCTTATACTGTAGGTGTGACAGCTGTACTGGTGGACCAATAGTTACCTACCTTATACTGTAGGTGTGACAGCTGTACTGGTGGACCAATAGTTACCTACCTTATACTGTAGGTGTGACAGCTGTACTGGTGGACCAATAGTTACCTACCTTATACTGTAGGTGTGACAGCTGTACTGGTGGACCAATAGTTACCTACCTTATACTGTAGGTGTGACAGCTGTACTGGTGGACCAATAGTTACCTACCTTATACTGTAGGTGTGACAGCTGTACTGGTGGACCAATAGTTACCTACCTTATACTGTAGGTGTGACAGCTGTACTGGTGGACCAATAGTTACCTACCTTATACTGTAGGTGTGACAGCTGTACTGGTGGACCAATAGTTACCTACCTTATACTGTAGGTGTGACAGCTGTACTGGTGGACCAATAGTTACCTACCTTATACTGTAGGTGTGACAGCTGTACTGGTGGACCAATAGTTACCTACCTTATACTGTAGGTGTGACAGCTGTACTGGTGGACCAATAGTTACCTACCTTATACTGTAGGTGTGACAGCTGTACTGGTGGACCAATAGTTACCTACCTTATACTGTAGGTGTGACAGCTGTACTGGTGGACCAATAGTTACCTACCTTATACTGTAGGTGTGACAGCTGTACTGGTGGACCAATAGTTACCTACCTTATACTGTAGGTGTGACAGCTGTACTGGTGGACCAATAGTTACCTACCTTATACTGTAGGTGTGACAGCTGTACTGGTGGACCAATAGTTACCTACCTTATACTGTAGGTGTGACAGCTGTACTGGTGGACCAATAGTTACCTACCTTATACTGTAGGTGTGACAGCTGTACTGGTGGACCAATAGTTACCTACCTTATACTGTAGGTGTGACAGCTGTACTGGTGGACCAATAGTTACCTACCTTATACTGTAGGTGTGACAGCTGTACTGGTGGACCAATAGTTACCTACCTTATACTGTAGGTGTGACAGCTGTACTGGTGGACCAATAGTTACCTACCTTATACTGTAGGTGTGACAGCTGTACTGGTGGACCAATAGATACCTACTTTATACTGTAGGTGTGATTGCTGTACTGGTGGGCCAATAGTTACCTACCTTATACTGTAGGTGTGACAGCTGTACTGGTGGACCAATAGTTACCTACTTTATACTGTAGGTGTGATTGCTGTACTGGTGGGCCAATAGTTACCTGCCTTATACTGTAGGTGTGACAGCTGTACTGGTGGACCAATAGTTCCCTACCTTATACTGTAGGTGTGACAGCTGTACTGGTGGGCCAATCGGTACCTACCTTATACTGTAGATGTGACAGCTGTACTGGTGGGCCAATTGTTTTCCACAGACTGTTTGCAAGACACATTGGAACAAAGAGGGAACTGTTGCTCCAACATTTACTGTAACTAATGGCAGAGTTAAGGATTCTATTGGCACGCTTTTGTGGTGTCTGAAAAATGAACATAAAATATAAGAGATTTAGTTTCAGTGAAAACAATCTAGAACTGAACAATTACGAGGTATCTCATACAGATCTTACTGCCCCATTATAAGATGTTATTAGGTCTATGTACAGTATCATAATTTTTTATGTTTTTTATTCTTTTATGTTTTGATGTAATAGTCATATCAACAGTAAATGGATCATATGTCACTTTTGACCAAAACTTTATTTTGGCCAAATCTAAGAAACAAATGCAAATTACAGATGGGTAAATTCCACTGATGTTTTTATTCCTTTCACATCACCTATCACTCTCTAATCAGCTGTCAGCACTGATACCGTTAAGAACAGATGGGCAAAATCCATATACTTATAAGTGTACAAACCTTCAAGATTGACTGGGGAGAAACGTCAGTCTAGCGGAACACACCTTAAAATTTCTTGCCAAACACAGAGTACATGTGTGTGCCTGCTATATCCAGTACTATTGAACAGTTAGGCAATGCTCCCAGTAATATTATTAAAATGTTCTTTATCGATTCCGTCGCCTGAGTTTCTAATTTCCTTCTTGACTGTTGCACGATAATTTAAATAAACATTCAAGCATTTTAGAATTGGATAGAGTGCAAAAGTATACTGATTACAGCTGTAAAACCTACATCATACCTTACTTCACACTGTTTGATTTCCTTTGGATTTAGGAACAAAATTGCACAACAGAGCAAATGATTGTTAAACTACATGAATGTTTGCATCATATGCAGAAAATGAGTGAACAGTTTTTGTTTTATGTTGTGCTATCTCACAACTGTAACTAATAAAGCTAAACACTACAAGCTGTACCTCTGATAAATCCCATTACAAGACAGTAATCATTGGGAATATCTACTCACATCATCTGGCAGGTTATTAGGTGTTAGGCCAAAAGTGAAGATGCCTTTTGAGGAATACTCGTCCTCCAGGTGCTGTAAGACATGGGAACCCAAACCACCAAACCCATCAAAAGTGTCCAGCAAAACATGGAACCCCTGAAATATACAAATATGTAGCATCATCTTGATTTACAATTAAAATCATATAGAACGTAGCTGAGGGAGAGGATGGACACTACACAAGAACATCTCCTGATTATTTGGTAAGTGGTAAAATCTAAAATGTTTATGCTACATATATAAAGTCAGAAAGAGGAAAGCTTTTAAAAGTAATTCAGAAAAGGAGGTTTGTCTCAGGATTTAAAAAACAAATGTTTGGAAAATTCATACTCCTGAGCATGGGAAAGCGTATATGTAAAATTTGATAAAGAAACATGGATACCTATGAGTACCTGCAAAGCATAAGTCTCTTAAAAAAGATGTACTTGTATTATAATTGAGTATACAATGTACCTATTTCATACTAGAGTATACAATGTACCTGTATTACACTGGAGTATAAAAATGTACCCGTATTGTACTAGAGTAAACAGTGTACCTGTATTACACTAGAGTATACAATGTATCTGTACTATACTTGAGTAAACAATGTACCTGTATAACATTAGAGTATACAATGTACCTGTATTACACTGGAGTAAACAATGTACCTGTATTGTACTTGAATATACCGTGAACCTGTATTACACTAGAGGAAACAATGTACCTGTATTACACTAGAGTATAAAACGTACCCATATTATAGAGTATACAATGTACTTGTATTACACTAGAGTATACAATGTACCTGTATTACACTTGAGTAAACACTGTACTTGTACGACACTAGAGTATAAAATGTACTTGTATTATACTAGAGTATACAATGTACCTGTATAGAACTAGAGTATACAATAAACCCGTATTACACTAGAGTATACAATGTACTTGTATTACACTGGAGTAAACAATGTACCTGTATTACACTGGAGTAAACAATGTACCTGTATTATACTTGAGTATACCATGAACCTGTATTACACTAGAGTATACAATGTACCCATATTATACTTGAGTATGAAATGTACTTGTATTATACTAGAACACTGACAGGTCAGTAAGGGCCCCGTCTTGTGGCAATATATCCCCCATAATCATCAAGAAGCAATCTGCCCATATATCTGAGCTTGACGTTTGACATTTGGACTTCAAAAAGAATTGCAAGGAATCATTTTACATGTACTATGATGTGAGTCTTGGTTCTTTCCACCTCCATATTTGCTAGGCTAACAGAAATGTAAATACCAGTTCAATACTCATTTGTTATCTTTGATTTGTTTTATTTCACCTTATATACCTCCTCCATCAAGAGCCAGGGTCAAAGTCAGAGATCCACTGGACCCAAATGACCTTGCCCATTAACCCAGTGACCCTGATCTTTGGTCAGTTGACTTATTCTTTAATTCCGACCAACTTTGCTTCTTAATATCATAACAAAATGTTCATCAGTGAAAAATACAAAACTTGACCTTGACACTTTGGACCCCTGGACCTGGACCTAAGGTCAGTTGACTCTGTGTTAAGTTCTGAACAACATTGCTTCATAATGTCATAACAAACTGTTCATCAGGGAAAAGGTACAAAATTTAACCCTCACCTTTGACCAAGTGACCTTGATCTTTGATCAATTGACTCCTTGTTTAATTCACAGCAACATTGCTTCAAAGTGTCAGCGAAATGTTCACCAATGAAAAGATACAAAATTTAACCTTGACCTTTGACCCAATGACCTTGACCTTTGGTCAGTTGACTCCTTGTTTAATTCTGATCAACTTTGCTTCATCATGTCAGAACAAAATGTTCATCGGTGAAAAGATACAAAATTTGGCCTTGACCTTTGAATATAATGACCTTGACCTCAACTTTTTACCTAATCATGTCTCTTTGTTTAATTTTGAACAACTTTGCTTCATAATGTCATAGCAAAATGTTCACCAATGAAAAGCCACAAAATTTGACCTTGACCCTTGACCTGATGACATTGGGTCAGTTGACTCCTTGTTTAATTCTTATCAACTTTGCTTCATAATGTCATAACAAAATGTTCATCAGTGAAAAGATGTAAAATTTGACCTTGACCTTTGAACCTAATGACCTTGACCGTTGACCATGACTTTTTACCTCAATGTGTATTTTTGTGAACTGAACAACTTGATTAAATTTCATGTACATCGGTTAAAAAATATTAAAGTTATCAGCCAGGAACAAAATTTGTGGACAGACAGACAGGGATGACTATAGGGCACCCGTATTTCCGATATGGGGCCCTAACTAGAGTATATACTGTACCTGTATTATACTCGAGTATACAATGTACCCGTGTTGTACTAGATAATACAATGAACCCGTATTGTACAAGAGTAAACAGTGTAACTGTATTACACTAGAGTATACAATATACCTGTATTACAGTAGAGTAAACAATGTACCAGTATTACACTAGAGTAAGCAATGTACCTGTATTACACTAGAGTAAACAGTGTACTTGTACACTAGAGTATACAATGTACCCATATCAAACTAGAGTATACAATGTACTTGTACTATACTTGAGTAAACAATGTACTTGTACGACACAAGAGTAAAAAATGTACTTGTATTATACTAGAGTATACAATATACCCGTATTACACGTACCTGTATAACATTAGAGTATACAATGTACCTGTATTACACTGGAGTAAACAATGTACCTGTGTTACACTAGAGTATACAATGTACAGATATTATACAAGAGTATTATACTAGAGTATATACTGTACCTGTATTATACTTGAGTATACAATGTACCTGTATTACAGTAGAGTAAACAATGTACCTGTATTATACTTGAGTATACATTGTACCCATAATATACTAGGGTATAAAATGTACCTGTATTACACTAGAGTAAACAATACTAGAGTATACAATGTACCGATTATATACTTGAGTATAAAATATACCTGTATTACACTGGAGTATACAATGTTCCTGTATTATACTTGAGTATACAATGTACCTGTATTACAGTAGAGTAAACAATGTACCTGTATTACACTAGAGTATACAATGTACCGATATTATACTAGAGTATAAAAAGTACCTGTATTGTACTTGAGTATACCATGAACCTGTATTACACTAGAGAACACAATGTACCTGTATTACACTAGAGTATACAATGTACCGATATAAAACGAGAGTATAAAATGTACCTGTATTGTACTTGAGTATACCATGAACCTGTATTACACTAGAGTATACAATGTACCGATAATATGCTAGAGTATAAAATGTACTTGGATTATACTAGAGTATATAATGTACCTGTATTACACTAGATTATACAATGTACCTGTATTACAGTAGAGTAAACAATGAACCTGTATTACACTAGAGAACACAATGTACCTGTATTACACTTGAGTATACAATGTACCTGTATTACATAAGAGTATACAATGTACCTGTATTTTACTAGAGTATACAATGTACCTGTATTACACTAGAGTAAACAATGAACCTGTATTACACTAGAGTATACAATGTACCTTTATTACACTAGAGTAAACAATGAACCTGTATTATACTTGAGTATACAATGTACCTGTATTACACTAGAGTAAACAATGTACCTGTATTACACTAGAGTATACCATGAACCTGTATTACACTAGAGTAAACAATGTACCTGTATTACACTAGAGTATACAATGTACCGATATAAAACTAGAGTATAAAATGTACCTGTATTGTACTTGAGTATACCATGAACCTGTATTACACTAGAGTAAACAATGAACCTGTATTACACTAGAGTATACAATGTACCGATAATATGCTAAAGTATATGTACTTGGATTATACTAGAGTATATAATGTACCTGTATTGTACTAGAGTATATAATGTACCTGTATTACACTAGAGTATACAATGTACCTGTACTACACTAGAGTATACAATGTACCTGTATTTTACTAGAGTATACAATGTACCTGTATTTTACTAGAGTATATAATGTACCTGTATTACACTAGAGTATACAATGTACCTGTACTACACTAGAGTATACAATGTACCTGTATTTTACTAGAGTATACAATGTACCTGTATTTTACTAGAGTATATAATGTACCTGTATTACACTAGAGTATACAATGTACCTGTACTACACTAGAGTATACAATGTACCTGTATTTTACTAGAGTATACAATGTACCTGTATTTTACTAGAGTATATAATGTACCTGTATTACACTAGAGTATACAATGTACCTGTACTACACTAGAGTATACAATGTACCTGTATTTTACTAGAGTATACAATGTACCTGTACTACACTAGAGTATACAATGTACCTGTATTTAACTAGAGTATACAATGTACCTGTACTACACTAGAGTATACAATGTACCTGTATTTTACTTGAGTATAAAATGTACTTGGATTATACTAGAGTATACAATGTACCTGTATTATACTAGAGTATACAATGTACCTGTATTACACTAGAGTATACAATGTACCTGTATTACACTAGAGTATACAATGTACCTGTATTTTACTAGAGTATACAATGTACCTGTATTACACTAGAGTAAACAATGTACCTGTATTACACTAGAGTATACAATGTACCCGTGTTTTACTAGATAATACAATGTACTGGTATTGTACTAGAGTAAACAGTGTACCTGTATTACACTAGAGTATACAATGTACCTGTATTATACTTGAGTTTACAGTGTACCTATTTTATACTAGAGTAAACAATGAACCTGTAGTATACTTGAGTATACAATGGACCTGTATTACACTAGAGTGAACAATGTACCTGTTTAACACTAAAGTATACAATGTACCCATGTTGTACTACATAATAGAATGTACCTGTATTGTACTAGAGTAAACAGTGTACCTGTATTACACTGTATTGTACTAGAGTATACAATGTACCTGTATTACGTAAGAGTATACAATGTACCTGTATTGAATTAAAGGATACAATGTACCTGTATTACACTTGAGTATACAATGTACTTGTAAGACACTAGAGTATACAATGTACTTGTACGACACTAGAGTTTACAATGTACTTGTACATCACTAGAGTATACAATGTACCTGAATTTTACTAGAGTATACAATGTTCTTGTATTATACTAGAGTATACAATGTACCTGTATTGTACTAGAGTATACAATGTACCTGTATTACGTAAGAGTATACAATGTACCTGTATTACGTAAGAGTATAAAATGCACCTGTATTACACTAGAGTATACAATGTACATGTCTTACACTTGAGTATACAATGTACCTGTATTTAATTAGATTATACAATGTAACTGTATTATACTAGAGTATACAATGTACCTGTATTTTACTAGATTATACAATGTACCTGTATTACACTAGAGTATACAATGTACCTGTATTCTAGATTATACAATGTACCTGTATTACACTAGAGTAAACAATGTACCTGTATTACACTAGAGTATACAATGTACCTGTATTTTACTAGAGTATACAATGTACCTGTATAACTCTAGAGTATACAATGTACCTGTATTTTACTAGAGTATACAATGTACCTGTATAACACTAGAGTATACAATGTACCTGTATTTTACTAGATTATACAATGTACCTGTAAATGATCACACTCCTCAATAAAGAAGTGCAGCCTGTCTTCCACTTCTATCCTGGTCTCATAGTCTGCCATCACTTCCTGTCCACACCCGTAAATATCAAAAGGCTGCAAGTCACTGAAATTTATCAAATTAGAGAAGATTTATGATATACAATAGATCTTGATAGCAACACAGGGTTCAAACAATTGTGTTTTAAATACAAATTTCTTTTCATTATACATTTATTACATAATTCTGACCAAAACAATTAAAGAAAAATTTGTATGGGTATCAGATATGTTTTACATGTATTTGTGAGAAATCCTGGTGTTTAATAAGAAAATACACAGCAACTAATTATAATTATCTATCCTTTGTAACAATTCTATAAGACTCTTTCATGCTTAGGGGTGTAGGATAGGGAAATTCCAACCGAGGGGTTTTTGAATTTGGTTTTGNTACACAGCAACTAATTATAATTATCTATCCTTTGTAACAATTCTATAAGACTCTTTCATGCTTAGGGGTGTACCAACCACCAGTATAAGCTCAGAAATCATGAAATTGCGTTTGGACTGGCCCCCATTTTGAAAATATATATTTTCCCCCCCAAGAGATTTTTAGACGAAAACAAATCAGCCAGCAGATAGAAATTTCCTACACCCTTTCTTACCCCGAACAGCTCTATCTTACACACAGGGAAATGAGATAATATAGTATATCTACAGAAACCATGGATAGTATATGGTCTTTAGTCTTAAGAAGGAAATAGCATGTGGCACTAATTCTGTATAGGTTTGTAAAGATTGTTTTTCACAGTGATATGGTCCATCAGAGAACAGTTTCTATTGTGAAAATAACCAGAATAATGAAATATCATCATCTTAATTGTGACTATAATGAAAAGGAAAGATGTGACATCGTTTCGACACACTACAGACAAAGATGCTATTATCCCAATGGAGGAAATATAAATAATAACCGATTTCATGGAAATAAGGAATATCCTCTTGTCTACTTTTAGAGGTATGTCCTTTTTCCTTTCTACTTTTGATTTTCTCTTGACGTATGTCCACCATTTTCTCACATTTTTACTGCCCGTCCTGTAGGACCTTATTGTCTTGAAATGCCTTTAGCATGTATCATTAAGGAAAGACCAGATCCCGGTTCACCATTTTCCCGGAATTTATCTAAAGAATGTGCAGTTTGCATAAGTTTACAGAGCTCTTTAACCCAAACAGTGACTTACTTTTTGTGTCTGTACTTCTCTATAACGTGGATAGACTTTGGGTGAAGAAACGTTCTTAGGTAATCCGACCACACAGTCACTGAATCATCAAGCTTGTAGAATTTGTTACGAATCCCAGCATCACTTGATTTCTGTTTTCTTTCTGAGTATCAAATGGAAAGCAAAACAACTAATTAAAAGTAAGTTTTAAAATGTGTGTTCAGTTGTTGAAATGTAAAATGATTTCACATTTCTTAATTTGTGTTATAGAATATTGTATATATAGTCATCACAGGAATGTCATATTATAAGAGTGATAGCATATTGGTCAGCCCTGACGCTGGAGCTGTTTTCTGAGATTAAACCCAAAGAAAATTGCTTCAGATGAGGGGGTGACAAACCCGTGAATGTCTGATATAACAAATAACACTGACACTATGTTGTAATGTTGAGTTACTATCACCACACAGACCCTAGCTGTGCAGGTGATTGTGGCTGAATACTTCATCTTTATAGTGTATGAACAGAACAATTTGAATTTGTGTATGTATTATGAAGGAAAGAACAGTTAGTTGATCACAGGAATATTCAGTGAAGTTACACTTGACCTATTCACCTTTGACCTCACTGCCTGAGTCCTTGATTTCCACATCATCAATGGATTCTTGACTGTTGTTACTTCCTGTGTTGTCTTTCATGTACAATTGTTCCTGTGACAAGTATAAATCAAATTAATCTTATATCAACAATCACCTTGTCCAAAGAGCAATGCGTGTGTACACACCTATAAATGCTGATTTCATTTCATGACTTATTTCATGTTAACATATAGAATTTTGTTTCCAATACAAACAAATCAGAGCAGCACATGTCAATCATTTTTGAGAGACGCAGGATCCAAAAATCTGTTCTAATGAAAACATATGAATGAGAATCCTTGTTCATGGAGGAGGATGTATATGTCTTGATACGGAGAATATATGGATGAATTTCCTTTATGTTGATATTCATAAGAATTGATGAATTTCCGTTTGTGTATGAGGAACTAAGAAATATTTTCCTTGTATGAAGGAGAACGTATGGATAGGTGTCCATATCTAGATAATGTTTTGAGACAATTTAGTCTCAACTTCATTGAAATTGTGATAGCAGTGTAGCGAACTGGGTTGATCATCAGTGACCAGGTAGCTGAAGTGGTAGAGTGTCTGTCTAGAGTTCGGAGGGTCCCGGGTTCGAATCCCAGACTGGCCGTTGTATTTTCCTTTCTCCTGTTATAGCAGTATGCATGATCAACATTGTAATACAGCATAACACTGTTTTAAAATCCTGTGATCTGAGTTTTACCATCCTTGTTCTGGTGTTGATGCTACTATGAATACCTGGAGATTGTATAACTGATAGGGCAACAAATGACCTCCTTCTGTAAAGTGAAGTATCAAGACTTTTACACTGATAAAAAAATATATACAGTTGTATACATATGGGAGTGATCACTGACCTCTTTCTCCAGGTCTAAAAGGTAGGGATTCTTGTCCGCGCCATCCTCCTGATGAAGTGTAACGTCTCCTGTCCTATAACATTGACACAAGGTTTGTTTTTCACAATGAGCCATGTGACTATAAACTAATGCTAGTGATCACTTAGTAATTTATAATCATGGTAAACAAATTGGAAATCATCAACCAATCTATGTTTGTTAATTTGTTCAGACTATTAACTACAATTGGTGTTGATGTTGCTTTCGATTTTCTGATAATTACACTTGTATTTATCAATTAACTTTTGAGAAGATAAGATTGTGGTTCGTAACACATTTCCACATGAGTTTTAACTTGGAAAATTGATGACAAATATAAAAAAAAATATCACTTACTTACAAGCATTTGCCAGATATTAAAACTTGCGAGCAGTATACTGGTAATATATTCACATGAAAATAACTTTTCATGATGTTACTATGAATGTTGTTTTATTGTATGATATAACTGGTTACCATCGGATTTCCTCCTGATGCCTGTGGTCATACAAACTGCCCTCCTGTTTCAGGGTGTTCAGGCTACCCTTCAGATCAAAGGCAACAAGTCTCGGTGTATAGGTTACTTCTCCCTGCAAAGGTAAAACACTTATATGTTGTAATGGCATTACCAGAGGCTAAGAACGATGAAAAAAAGAAATTAGCATTATCCTAGACAAAGTATGTAGTATGCTAACAAAATAGTAATGATGAAAATTACCTTACCAAGTCCTTACCTACTGATTCTCTAGGTTATTAATATTTCATTATTTTTTTTGAAAATAAACATGACACTGCATGTATACAAAGGAACAGAAAAAGCTGGAAGTAAGGTACATTATATATATCTTCCCCAATAGACAAAGATATCCAGGGGGACAGACAAATCTGTCTTATCCTTCCCCCTTCCTCCAATCTGTTACCTTATCCTCTGAATAACTAAGTAGATTATTTTTAATCATTAATTATATCTATATGTAGTTTGTCATTTGTGCTGCATAAGCCCAATTTCATGACAAAATCTTCAATTAGTTGAAGGTGGTCACTATATGGAAGTGGAAGTAAGCCTTTATTTTTATTTTTATTATTTACCCTTAGATTTTTTCCTTCTCGAAACAGTACGTCATGGTCAATGTCTTTTTGCACTGGCGCCAACTTTGGGTCATAGATGAAAGATGATTCCTGTAATATAAACAACATATTAACTAATGGTGAGGGTAAACAATGTAAAGGAGTTCAACGGTTCAATAAACCTCTAAGCTTATAATTATAGTCTAAAAGTCAGATAGTGAGAGAATCAGATAGTGAGAGAGTCAGAAACTAGAGTCTAACAACCGCCAACTAGTCACACACTAGAGTATGCAACTATCCACCAGTCACAAATATGCATAACATTAAAGTATTGTACATAACAGCTCGAATTTATAACGTAACTAGTAAAACAGTTCTATCCACAAGGGGATTGTTTGCAGATAGAACCACAGGGACATTATAATTTGTTACAGCTATATTTGTACCTAAACTAGTTTTATATGTTTTAGGGGTTTAGATCGACTAACGGTAAAAATGACACGCTAATGACCATTGGGGTGTCATTTTTACCGTTCATTTATAATCATTGGGGTGTCATTTTTACCGTAAGTCGATCTAAACCCTTAAAACATGTAAAACTAGTTTAGGTACAAACATAGCTGTAACAAATGATAATGTTCCTGTGGTTCTATCTGCAAACAAACCGCTTTGGGTAATCATGGCAATGGATGTTTTTTTTTCACTTCTCACTTATTTCATTTAGTAAGTTTATCCCTATGTTACGTGCAGTTACAACCGTTGTCTATCACCTGAATATTCCACCAATGGCTTCCTACATAATTGCTATAGTGCCCAATTTGTAGTGTTACAACTTCCCTCGAGGACATGGTCGAAGCAGCAGCTGATGTATTTCGTTAGGATACCTAATCGAACAAACCGGAAGTACTTTAGTATTTCGGGTACTGTGTGCTCTTCAGATAAATCTGACGGATTCGACCTTTTTCAGAAGAAAAGAAAAATGACAGTTTTACACATAGTTCTATTCATTTAAAAAAAAAAGTAAAATACGTTGTTTCAGTGACGACTGGATTAGCAATGTTTCAGTTGGGTGTCAGACGTTTCGCCCCAAAACCGTAGAACTACCGTGCTAAGAGGAATAACTCTTGTTTCTACAATACACAATCCCATTAAATATATAAATATCATTTGGGTTTTGCAATGCCGGAATAGTAATTCATTATTTATTGGGGGGGGGGAAATGTTAATTAGTGTTCAGCATTTGCAAGATGGATCAATTTTCAAGTGATCATTGAATTTATCAAAAGTTCAATTGCTAGCATTATTACGTAATTGATACAATAATATATTTAGTTTTCTTGGATAACAGACGATGAAGTCTTCAGAAATGGTCCTGGGAGGTGTTTGAGTTTTGTTAAATTTCCTTTTTAAAAGAACTGATAGTGAGCAGAAATGACAGAATGATCAAGATTGTTCCATAGCTGCATGACATCAGGAAAGAAGCATTGATAGAAANGATGATGGTGATGATTGTATGATGATGGTGATGATTGTATGATGATGATGATATGATGATGATGATAATTATATGTTGATGATGATATACATGAAATGATGACTGAAGATTTTGGATGATGATGGATTATGGCAATGATGATGATTGAATAAGTATATATGAAAGAGGATGAAGAAGATGATAAAGATAATGATGATGATGATGATATGTTGATGATGATAGAATGATGACAATGAAATTGATTGTGATAATGCTTAATCCATGTCCGTGTGTGTATATGTAATATATGTGAGAATGCGTGAATGTCCTGTTTATGTATATGTAATGAAAAACTTAGAAAAATAAAACCATTACAAAAAAAAAGGAAAGAAGCTACGGTTGTAGATGCAAGTTCTAGATTGAGGAATGTTATTAGGTTCGTAGCGGTTGGGGCGATACAGAATTTTGGGGCGATATAGCTTTTGGGTCGAAACGGATTTTAGGTCGAAATGTATTTTTGGGCCGATATGGTTGTCATACATGGGGCGAACTGAACTGAAAATTGGGGCGAAGTGAACATTTTTTGGGGCGAACTGGTTTGGGGCGTAACGGTTTTGGGGCGAAACATCTGTAATTTGCACATAATATGTAAAAATGTATTTCATTAAATTTCCAGCTATACTTAATGTAATATCTCACTGTAGTTTTAACTTTACTAAAACTAGCATTTCACTGCTGTTTCAACCATACTACAACTTAAATTAATATCGTGTAACAGGAGAGGGAAAATGCACGGCGAGAATGGGGTTCGAACCTGGGACCCTCCGAACTCTGGACGGACGCTCTACCAATTGAGCTACCTGGTTGCTACCGATCAACCAGTCCAGTTCCGCTACATTTCTCCCTCCTTTTTCTAAGTCTTCGCCACCGAAGACACAACTATATATTTAAAACCCCGGTTCAGGTATCCCCTTGCAAAGCATACAATTGAAACAAGGGTTGGTCACAGGCACCACTGTAACAGGAGAGGGAAAATGTGCACGGCCAGACCGGGGTTCGAACCCGGGACCCTCCGAACTCTAGACAGACGCTCTACCAATTGAGCAAATTGAGCTACCTGGTCGCCGACGATAGACCCAGTCCAGTTGCGCTACAATCGTAATCATTTTTGCCAGATATGTAATTTGAAAATGTTTTATTCTTTTTAAACTAGCATGAAACTTATACGACAGAAAGACAATTTTGAGCCAAAAGGACACATTGAACATTTCATCAATTTCAAAGCTTCTAGTGATTGGCAAAAAGTTATGTGTTAGGCATTTATCATTACGAAACAATATTTCAAACCTATGTTAGCAAAATAAAAGATATCTAATAAACTTGTTAAAATTCTTCTAAACAATACTTAAATATCACATTAATCTTATATGGTATTTCATGATTATAATAGTTTATGACTATCTAATATATTTTGTAATGTTTATAACATATTTTATATAATTAATAAGTTATCATTGCGATGGTTAATGTGTTATTATTGCGCGCGTGCTAAGTACATTGTGTCTTCAAAAAGGATATGCCTACACCAGTTATCTGTAAGTTCACACACATATAAAACAAACACCGAAGTGATCAAGGCCCTATCGAGGGTCTGACCAAGATAAACTAGGTAGGTCACATGAATTTTATTACATTAGAATAATAATACATAATGCTAAAAGGATCAGACAGAGCGGTAAACAATCTCATATGCGTAAAAAAAAACCAACAACACAAAAAACCCACTTGTACATGTTAGCACAGAGACACGTTAGTCTAGTGGTAGGACGCCAGGCTCGTGAACGAAGGGTGGCGGGTTCGAGTCACGGCACGGCACTGTGTTGTATCTATGTGCAAGATACTCTATTCCGCTTGTTCCAGTCTACTCAGCTGTAAATGAGTACGTGGTTGGGTAGTGCTAGAATTGTTGAATGCTAGCTGTTAGCGCCGAAATGGCAGATCAGGCTGTATGCTTCCCAGGGAGTTGAGAAAGGTATTGGCTGGTTGCAAAGGCCCTATAACCACGGATAATAATTTGTGAACCGCTTTGAGATGACCTACGAACTAGTTTGTGATAAAGCGGTATATAATGATCAGAATAATAATTATTATTATGTGATAGAAGGGAAACTCTCTTGCCAACACAGTTACCTGTTTAGTGATACGTGCCTTCGGTGAATTAGTAAGTGGACGTTGTACATATTATACATAAAAACGACACATTTTGGTTATTAGATATGTTATTATGATTTTAAATAAACGAATTTTCTCTTATAGAAAGTTCGTTTGATAAAAAAAATGCTTTCTAGTCAAAGCTATCTATATTTAAGAACGTTAAAGAAATAACAATTGTATAGGTTTCGGTTGAGGAGCATAGAGGCAGGGCTAACCTTGGACTTAAACAATTAGTAGCCACTTTCTCGGCCTCCAACCGTTACGGATAGGCCCTCCATTAAAATCATTCAATATTTAATATTTTTGAAGTGCAATACTATTCAACAAGGCGAGACGTCCGACTTCAAAGCCTGTCAATTTTTACCGTTACGTGACCGCGAAATTCTTATGATGTACATCACAGGATCGAACTAGTCTTCTTGTTTCATCAAAGAGGTGGCGCACACCGAGCCTTCAATTTTGCTATGACATATTCCAGGGGTATAGAGAGCGAAAGTGAGCGTAACCCCTGGATATCGAGGATGGCTGCATACATGCTATTAGAAAAGTGTTCATTTCCTCAGTGAATTTGGCTTCACCTCAGACGGAAAGATATAGATAAGGGTACTAACATGTACGGATATTTCATTTTCATGTCTGTCTCTCGATTTTCCAAAACAATATTATATCCAAATTCGAAATAAGAAATGCTGACGGCAATAATTTTACAAATGTATCAAAGGGGTTGACAATAGACTTCAAATGTTGAGGAAAAATTATGGTTTATATTTTCACCAAAAGTATTACTATTGAACACACTGTGTATGTTGTAAACAACTACACACATTCATTGATCTTAGGAATATCTGTATAAAGAACAACTGAGCTTCCATTGATATCAACTAACAACATCTATGTACGAACCCAGTAATAATCAAACCTTACACTAAAAGGAAATCCCAGTCAAGATATCACATAAACAAACAGAAGGCTTAGATACTCCTAAACAGTGGTGTAGCAGGTGCTATATGTTTGGTTTCAAGAATTACACAAAGACAAAGACACATTTATAGTGTTAAACCAAACAGTTAAGAATTGTGCCCGCGTGTATCGGCATTCAGATGTAGCGCTGGTTTTAGATTTGGTCCTTCAAGCCTTCAGTTTCAGGGCCACATATTCAAACTTAATTAAATTACCTAATGATGCTTAATGGTATTTTTAGCACAGGTTCTATTCTAAGCATCATCTTCGCTGGACTCATAAGTGTAATATTATAGTGATATATTTCCCTTCCGGTTGTTATACGTATTGTCCCTTAGTAGTTGTTGTATTTTACTTCCTGTCCGTTTCAGTAGTCATCAAGCCTGTTGTTGAAGCTATTAAGTATTTTTGCAGTTACTATGGGATCAGGCAAATTGTTCCAAACTGCTGTTGTTCTTATGGCATTTTTAAGGGCAAAGTGAGCTTATGCCAAGGTCACAAGGGTCAAATATGTTAATATCTTTAAATAACTTCTTCTGAATATTGTCCAGAAGTATGTTGGGATGAATGATCATCGCCCATATTCAAGGTCACAGGGGTCAATTGTCTTCAAAACCTTAACTTCTTCTGTATAACAAAAAGGTCCAGGGTGATGATATTTGGTCAGAAGGATGTTGGGATGAAGAACTACCAAGTTTGTTCAAATGAATGACCTTCGCCCATATTAATGGTCACAGGGATCAATTGTCTTAAAAACCTTTAAACAACTTTTTCTAAATTACCAAAAGCTCAAGGGTGATGATATTTGGCCAGTAGCATGAGGGGATAAAAGGCTTCCAAGTTTCTCAAATGAAAGACATCCGCCAATATTCAAGGTCACAGAGGTCACTTGTCTTAAAACCTTTAAACGACTTTTTCTGTATAACCAAAAGATCAAGGGTGATGCTATTTTGCCAGAAGGATGTTTTGATGAAGGGCTACCACCTTTGTTCAACTTAATGTCATTGTTTGACATTTAAGGTCACATGTGTCACATGTTTAAATCTTTTAATATATTTTAGTCCACTTTTAAGATTACAAGTGAAAGATTAATACCAGGTGAGCGATTCAGGCCCATTGGACCTCTTGTTCCATAGTGATGTCCTAGCGTATCTAGGAGTATTTACATGGAGTTTGTTCTTGTGCTTGACCTTACTGAGGTGTCGGACCACATCCTTATAAACTCTGTTGCTTCCTCATCGTAGA